GGAAGAGTTCAAATGTGTCTTCAGGGGTGAATGAGTTAATGTCAACATTTCCAGCTGCTCAATAGGACGAATTTAGAAAATTTCATAATACTTGTATATTGTTTGCAATGTATTAAACCATTGTTCTTATGTTTTTATTCACTCTATCACAACTGTTTGGAAACAATCATTGTTACCCCAAATAATAAGAAATTGTGATTTAGGAAGTTGGCAAGTGTTTAATTGCCGCGTGCTGTGTTATAATTTCTTTCATCTAAATAAACCCTTACAGTAGAATCTCTACCTGTCTGATAACTAGTCTACAAGTTTTATCATTCATTATAAGTCCTTTGTTCCTTTATAACCACTACCTGTCTACAGAAGCACTCATCCAATAGGACTGTTTTGGGGTTATTTCATAGACATATTGAGATTAAAATCGCTGGGTGTTTTTTTTTCTTCAATTACTTTTCAAAACTAAAATAGCAACAAAAATATTCTTATATGCAGCCAAACCTTCTCTTGGGACTACTTATATTAAGGGACCAACTGAGCTAAAGAGACCATTTTTAATGTACTCTATTGTAGTTATTTCTAGAACTAAACCTGTATTAAGAGACCACCTGTCTTAAACGACTTTCACATTTCAGTTTTTAACTCTGAGTTTAATGTCTTTATCTTTTTCATATTTTTCAGGAAACAAGTGAGCCAATCTTCTCCAAACAAATAGGCGATTAGCTGTTAATCTTTCATATAAAATCTCAGCAATGACTTGAAGAAAATTTCGGAATTTCATTTTATGGAAATGGCCAAAATACATCACATGAACCCAATGGCCACGTCTAAGCACTGGTCAGACCTGCGGACGGATGACGACATCCAATCTGCTGTGTCCACCTTCCTTGAGGATGAATCACATAACCTAAGTGGTAAGACGCTACATGAAAGCATTGTGGAGGTTTCCAGGTGGCTCGGGACGCAGATCCAGAAAGAACGGGAAGGTTGGGCCTATAAGATACGTATGGCTATGCAGGAAATAGAAAACCATCGCCGCGAGACATTAAAAATCCACAGTGTAATCCAGGAATGCACCAATCAGCTGAGATTGATTGCTGAATGCTGCAACATGGACGAAGACATCCTGGTGAAAATCTCGCAGGAGGACACAAAGCGGGCCCTTCCTCTATACATTGAGTGTTTGGCCGAGTTGATAAACACCTTAGTGGAGGACCGGTTACAATGTCTGCAGCTCCTCAAACTGAGCGAGGCCGATATTGATGGCCAAACAGTGTTTAGTATGTTAAGTTTGCACTTGCAAAGGCTCGAGTTCAGCAATAGCCAAACACAAAAAGAACGGGACGATCATGTGATGAAACTGGAGCGTGAAAACACACAGCTCATGTCCGAACTAAACCGTCTCAAAAAACAGTTTAACAAGATGCAGGAGGACCATAAGAAATTACAGATAATATTTCAGGCTGTTCAGCAGGACGATCTGCAGGAAACATCACAATCCACTGCCAAAGATGGCAGGGCATCGCCAGTAAGTTTAGCAGCAGTGGTTAAAGGTGATTTCAACGGCATA